AAAATAAATTTATATTTAAAAAATCGATTCAGGATTTTAATGAATCGATTTTAATCGATAAATCGATTATAAAACCCCACCCCTAATAAAAAGCTATTCAAAAACGTGAAGAGATCTAAATTTAAAGGATTAAAATGGTGCAAGTATAGCTAAGTGGTATGCATGGATGCAGTTCTACAAAACCACGATAAAGAACTGGCTGTAGCAAAGCCTCAGACAAAGTCAGAACTCGCATGAAGTATTTGCAGCACTTACACACGAAAAGATTTATTTAAGGTCTTACAGATACAAAATAGCTTTTATTTTTTTCTCATAGAATAGTTTCTTTTCTTTCTTTTTTTTAAGATTTTATTTTATCTTGCGTGAGGCAACAAACAATATTTAGAGACAAAACAATCCAAATGGCACAAAGGATGTTAGTTGTGTGAGGAGAGGAAATTAAATGTCAGTCTTCACACTGCATTACAACACTTTTAGAGCATTCAGATGCTTTCAAATACATGTAGACATAAATATGTATTTTAAATTTAGCTTATTCCTTGAGGCAAAAGTCAATTCATTTCAACAGCTACAACACTTTCAGATTGGATTTCAACAGGTAGATGATCAGATTTAAAACTGAAAACCACTTTCAATAGCCACATGATCCAGGTTTATTTTTCATTACTTCTTTCTCCTGAAGGTTCAGATTAACTCCTTGCTAAAATCTTCAGTCTCTGTGACTCTTATTAATGCTGTTGTTTGTCAGTAGACAGAAAAAGAAAGGTAGGATACAAGTTAAGCGCGTGGGTCAAGTCATTGGGGTCCGTTCATCAGACTGGAGGCAGCCCTGCTCGATACTGGTTTCACTGGGGCAGAGCTTTGAGGATGGCATTCACCTCCTCAGCGACTGCAGTCAGTGCAAACTCAAACTGGTCCTGGAAAAGAGAAAAGGCCAATTTTCCATTGGTACTCCCCGAAGTTAAAGGAACTTATCATAAAGTAGAAAATACTGGAAGCTAAGAAATGCTCAAGTCTGTCTGCAAAAGTGTTGTACTCTTATATGCATTTAATGTAAGACTGAAAGACATGTTGCTGAACACAAAGACTAGTAGCAAAACATCCCATCAAAAGTTTTTGCAACAATAACTGCCCATATTTGAATGAAGTGTGTGGTTAAAAATAGTCCACCAATCAGAGAAA